CAGACAATTATCTCTTTTAGTTACGACAGCTCAGTTGCGCAAGCCAATTTGTTGATGTGGATGAAGCAAGTACTGTTATAAAGTATAAACAGCTGATGTAAATTCCATTTTTGCAATATAGGAAAAAACAGCCCTGACAAGACATAGAAAATGTTCTTCAGAAGGAGAATCAAGTCAGTCAGAGTATGTAACACAAAAGGAAAAAAGAATGGCAGTGACCACCTCTCACACCTCAAGTCAATGGTAGGAAGGCTCTATCATGATTTAAAAACAGAGCCCTTCTGAAAAAAAGAAAAGAGTACAAGAAGCAACAATGTCTGATAGTATACTACCAATAGAGGTAGTGAGCATTGATTAACATTGCACATAGGACTCTGGAATGGAATTATGATCAGAAACAAAATGAGATGCTAAAATCCTAATCAAGCTAAAGTTAAAGTGAAATACTTTGTAACAAAGCCCAATGGCAAAAGAACATCAAAACAATAATAACTGAAACACTATCAGTGAAACCCATAGGTAATGAAGATACCAAAATACGTACATATTTATATGTGTCATCATCATTAAAAACAATCAGGAGAATGACAATAGCTAATAATGGTGCAGAAAAGAAGGTCTCAATTAAAACAAGACAAATCAAACATGCAGGGCAGCAAACTGACAACAGGTTAAAAAATTGAGAAGGAATAGCTGATCAAGATAAAGTGTATAAAGATAGAACTCATTTTTGAAAAATACTTATACCCTCAAGATCACAAGAAGGTAGAAGAAACATAAGATTCAAGTACAGAATCATCTCACATGACACTGAAGGTGATAAGGCAAAAGATATAGTAAAAGATCGACCTTGATCAAAAACAAAAGAAAATGATGATTATACAAATTATGCATCCACATGATCATGATACTCACCAAGAATACCTGCAAACAATGGTATGAATACCTTGTACAAGTGGGACTGACAATGCATGCTACAAGCATAATTACATAAATAAACCACTTGTCTAAGTTATAGATATTCTGATAGTGGCAGAAATAGTTATAACAGAAAGAAGGTAATAGCAAAGTTAACAGAATGACTGTCAACATGAAATCTAAAAGATTAACCTTCATAAAAAGGAAAAGCAAATATCAATGTGAAGCAAATTAAGTGATCATATAATTGTGATACCTGACAGGAATACCAGTATACAACAGCATGAATATGTTGAACAATCGAAGCTGACAATGCACCTACAAGATTACATTGGACATACAGGCAAATTGTGTAACACTACCTACTAAGTTATAGTAATTCTGATAATGGCAGAAATATTTGCTTCAGAAAACCTCATAGCAAAATGAACACCATGACTGTCAATAAGAAAAACTAAATTATGGTGCAATAAGTCATGCAGAAGGTGGAAAAGTGAACAACTGTGGGGTAAAGGTGGTTTTGTTTTTTGAAAGCACAGGTTCAAAATCAACAAGGAAAGGTTTTTTAGGATTTCATAGTTAAGTCTACCAGAGTTGAAAATATATGTTGGCTCATAATATTATGTATGCCCTATAAATAACTACAAGGTATTGTTTAACTGTTAAAATTAATCCTCTGATCCTTAGTTACATGTATAAATCATTACACAAAATACAGGCGCAAAATATTTTGTGAAGTCCAAACTTACTGAAATCAAATGTACAAATAATTTCCTCCAGTTCATAGTGTATATCATGATGATAGTTGAGACATGAATATGGAAGTGAAGAACAAATTTTAGATGGTTCAGGTGGAGGGTAAGGTCCCAGTAGTGGAAAAGGTTCACAATGCTTTAATTTCTTTAAAATTTTTTCTTCATTTCTTGAGTTATAATTTACAAGATAGACTTGATTTGTTAACTGCATGACACCACATTTATAGCCAACTTTCCTTCTAGGATCCTTCACACTCAGTATGATATATAGACCTGAAAAACGTTCATTAATTAATGATAATTTAAATAAATTTCAGGCTGTAAAGTAAAACATATTAAAAACATTAAAAACACTATGCCATATGACCAATAAACATTACTTTTTTTAACCTTAGCACCTTAAATAGGTTTCTAGCAAATATCAAATTTACAATGTTCAGTTCTTGTGTTTAAACATTACTCATTAGAAAATTGATGTGTACCAATCTCTTCTGGTAGCTACACAATAGGTGAAAATTTATATAAATGTGTGTAATTACAACATAACAGCATTCTTTAGCAAATTACCATATAATAGTACTATAATGGGCAGAAACATCAAAATGAAATCACTGTTTGTGTTTCAGTGCAAAGACTCACATGGGCTACTATTCTGTGCTTACCAAGGGTATTGAACCCAAATTAGCATGTAAGTCCTGAAGCTTACTGATGAGCCACTGGGAATTGTGAGTGAGACAAAATGGAATGAATGTTTAAGGTAAAATTTAAAACTAAAAATACAGTGTTGATGAAAAATGTGTATAAGCAGCAATAATATCATTACTATTTAACACAGTAAATAGAATTATAAAATTTAAACTAAACACATGATGACTTAACTAAATTGTAGGCTTACTTATTAAGCTAGGAGTTTTTAAGATGATTGAGTTCGGTAATTAATTATTTTCTTAATTAAGAATAGATTAGTCTTAGGTGGCTATTGATTGGTGTTTCTATTGTGACTAATAAATTTTTAGTGATTAAATGCTTCTGCTAATATAATGTATTAATCAAAATACTGTTGTTTCTATTTTTAGGGTTAACCATTAGGCTTTGTATAGAAATGAATGGTTTTTGAACTTACTAGTTCTTAGGTAAACAATACAATCTGCCTGTACATTGTTGGCATGTGTAGTTTAAAATCGTACTTTGTTTCTCATTGGCATTTACATGGGAATGTGATCCTGCTCCAGTGCTTTAAATGATGGTAAAAGATTAGAAATTTCACTATATAAAAATTACACAAAATTTCAGTATCATTTCCTCTAAATTGAATGTTTGTTGAGAAACTCTAGACAATAATCCAATTTGCAATGGATTTTAAAAGTATTGAATGTATAGATATCATTAATTTTTTGGAAGGTATGTACAAATATGAAATCCTTCACTAAAATAGGTACTAAACAGTGATACACTTTAATCATTTATATCAAGTTATCCTTTATTGATGGAAGACACACAGAAAAACGTAAGAAAACACATAATGATAAAACACCCTATGTAAGGTTAAAAGATTAAGTGATATGATGTTTTCAAAATAGAATTCATTAAGCATTGCAAGAAATTACTATACCCATATTATATAATATAACAACCAACATGTAATGTGAAGGTGTTAATAAATATTAATTTAAAAACATGATTTTTTTCTATTCATCAACTACAACTTACCAGCCTTTAAATGGTCACAATAGCAGTCCTTTTTCACACTGTAGCTGATCTCAGATGCAAAATCATACTTGTTACCTTTGTAGAATTTGACAATATCAAATTTTCCACAGGAATATCTATATCCTAGACAAAACAATTTAATGATTAGGACAATTTCAAGTTAAGAAAAGATAAAGCAGATAATCAAAAAAACTAGTTAATTAAGAAATGACAAATTGTTTAATTATAAAAGTAAAAAAGTACTTCAAAGTAGCAATTGACACCACTTAATCTTTAGATCTTACTGATACAAATACTTATCCCATGTTATTAAAGCAAACCATATTTTAAATTTTATATATATATATATATAATGTGAATTTCTATAATATTAAAAGTTATATTTTGCTAAATATGCATTTGTAATATACATGATGGTATGAGTATACAAAATTTATTCTTATTGTTTTAGATGATTCAGAAAATGATATATATTTATATGGATAACAAATTACACATGATGGCTTACCTAAACCTGGAAGTGTCTTGATGTCAATCTTGAGAACTAAGAAGATCAACACAGCAAAATATTTGAAAAGTTTTATAATTCATATTTATATTAGGTTCAACTGTGGAGTAATATTTTTGTATAACTTTAAAAAATGTTTTATTATAAAATAATCATATAAGACAATGAAACAATGAATAATTAAACATAAAACAGAAGTATAACACTACCTTTATCAAATTTATGTTTCAAAATACAAACAGTTAACCTAGATATTTAATTGTAAATTGAATTATGAGGACCGAAATGACACTACTTTACACTTTAATAAGCAAAACTATTTATTTTTGGATGTGATATTTATAATTTCAAACAAAAATCAAACATAATTTGGTTACAGAGGCATGTTACACAGACTTATAAAAGTTTCCTTTTTATATCTAACAGAAAAAAACTGAAATAATATTTCAATTTGTTTATGCTTAATTAACTTCCCCCCAAAACATAAAATTTAAATGTATCAATGTATTTTACGAATTACAAGAGATACACATATTTATGTTTTGTTCGATCATTGGAAAAAATAAATGGATCTTATAAAATTTTCTCACAAAATAAACACATTCTTCCCAGTGCACAATTTGAAAGCATAGAACAAGCTCCCATTGTTTTTAAAAAACCTTCATGGTTTGAAAAAATACTTTATTTTGAAAACTGATAAGATTATTTCCTTTTTACTGGTTACAGTGAGTTGTTATTGCCTTAGTTCTGTTCCTTAGAAAAAAAGTATGCAAACAACAATATATTATTAGACATCATAGATAAGAAGTATTACAATAAAATGGTTTAACGATGCAATTATAATAAAGTATTGCATTTCATAGTAATATAGTTGGACTCATTTTTTTATACTATACTTAAATTATAGATGCGATCTAAATTTAAACTGTAAGCTTTCTATGTTTGCAGATAATGCAGCATTAACATTAACACTTCTAATATAAAAGTATTAAGATTTAAAGTTGAAAATAATTTGTGAAAAGCAGGCAATTATTGTTTTTTAAAATAAATTATCTATTAATATAACTAAAACAAAATAAATATTTTGTACTAAAAATAAAATGATTATAAATGAAAATTATTTTACATTTTATATTCATAATAATAGTTGTAAATGTTCACAAATCGAAAGAGTGGATGCTTTAAATATTTAGGCTTATACATTTATAAAAACTTAAGATGGAAACAGCAAGTTATCAATTTGGTAAAAAACTAAGATTTATGTTCATTAAAATCATATATTATTTAAATAAAATTGTTAAGAATTCTTTATTTCTTATTATACAGTCTTATTATACAATTTTGATAAGGGTGGAAAGACTTATCCAGTTACACTAAACCCAATTGTTTTATTCAGAATAATATTATTAAATGTATAATATTACATAATGACAAATGTTTAGGCGATTTATAAAAAGTATGTATAACTAAAAATATATGGTATTTATTTCAAATTAGAATATTATTAATGAATAAAAAGTTACTTATAAAAAAGTATGGTTATTTGATAGAAAACTGGGTTAAAATATTAAATTCCAATTCATCATAATTAACCAGAAAAAGACATTACAGTGCCAATCCTTTTAACCCAGATACTATATATATATTATTGAAACATTCTTTCAGGCAGAATAGACATCATAAAGAACAAAGAAATGAAGAACCTAGAACAGGGTAATCTTAACAGCTTGTTGGACTATTTGTTAGTGGCATTACACCACAGAAACTAAACGACTGAAACATTTTAAAAGCCTCTATAATGCTTGGAGGTACCTGATGATGACAATACTTTGTCAAAACGTTGTACATTTGCTGTTATGTTAAACTTATATTAAAGTTTTTCTTCATTACCCATTCAAGCCATCTCCAAGCATTATTAGTTTCAAAGTGGGTTCCTCGTCATTGAATTTGAACTAAAACTCTGTAATACAAGTCTTGTATCCAGTTACTCAGCAGTTAAGTCAGAAGGGCTTATAATTCTAAAAATCTGGTTTTCATACCCATGTGTAGTATTGTGCTTATCAACAAACAAATAAACGAATAGAATAAAGTTTGATTCATATGGTGTGAATGTCTTTAGAAGCTGGCAAAGCAGGATTATAATTAATTTAATTATACTTATCATAAGACATTATGTTAGGCCTATTATTTTTCAACACTACATTCTTAATCTAATCCCTTAGGGATTTTCAAGAATTAGAAAAGTGTATTAGTATTTCAACCATACTATATTTGTTATTATATTATAATTATGTTTGTCATATGGGCTCTGGATTGAGTGAAACATCTTTGACAATAGATATAATGAATGGATATAATGATATAATGAATATATATGGAGATCATTGTCTTATACATTTATTTTTGGATCCGTAGGAGCCTTAAGTCTTTGGTCTACATTTTTATTGTTTAGATTTGTCAATTATTTTGTTTCGTAAACAATACTTATTTTAAAGTGTTTTATTTTAATCTTAGAAAACTCCAGATTCAACATTTATTCTGGACAAACACCCAAAGTATCGCAACATAATTATTGGAGCAGGATTTTCAGGTATGTAGGGAAAAAATAGAAACATAATATACATTTGTATAAAGAAGATTAATATTATGTTTAGAAATATATAAAAATACCAAGAATAGCCTGATTTTTATACCAAACTTCACTTATTATTCATAAGACCTGCTGCAAATCTTAAAATAAGATGTAGCTATTGATTGAAAATAAATTATGGAAGAAAAACTTGCTAATATTTTCAGTAGCTTATGTCAACTGTGGATTCATCTGTTTTTGCTTCATGTTCATTAGTATTATTTCTGTTATTTGTTGTAGGAGTATGTTACTTTTATAATTATCAATATTTTCCTGTTGTGTGTTATAAGTGTATGATACTTTTATAATTAATATAATTCTTTCTGTCAAGCTATCTGTTTAAGGTGTGTAGCACTTTAGTTTTGATTTGTATTGTCTCTTTCAAGTTGTCTGCTCTAGATGTATATTACTTTCTTAATATTTTTTTATAGCTCATACCTAGTTGTATGTTGTAGGAGTATGTTATGTTATTTTTATAAATATTGATATTATTCCTTTAAAATTTTCTATTGTAGTTGTACATAAGTTTTATTAATGGTGTTCCTGCCAAGTTCTCTGTTTTAGACTTGTGAAAATCAAATAATAAAGCATTGTGTTGATTGCTCACTTTGACAGAACTTTGATATTTTTAGTTTTTGTATTTCAGTATTCCACGTTGAAGGGATATGTTCTTTGTAAATACCTTTCATTCATCTTAAGAATACACTAAAACAATTTCACAACACTTAATTTATGTTCTTGACAAAACACTTATTCACAACTGATAAAATAAACATTCCTTTCTAGACTATAGTTGAAGTCAACCTTTTCATTTAAAAAATTCAATCCATAAATCCCAGTTTATGAGATTATATTGTTTATGTAATTCTGATATTAATTTTGCTAATAGTACATCTGTGGCTTAGCAGAAGGTCTGATAACTTATAACACTAAAAATTGGGTTTCTATACCAGCTGCGGGCAGAGCATAGATTGTATGTGATATAGCATCACTAATAAAGCTAAGGAAGTATTTGCTTTTTTGTACTAAAAAAGGTATTCACTCCAAGTAATTAATTTCTGTAAATAAAGGCAATAATATTAACCATTACATGTCTCTTCGATAATTTTGAGGACTTATAACTTAAAAATCAGTTTTCTATACTACCTACTATGAATAGAGCACAGATAGCTCATTTTATGTAGCTTTGCACTTAATGACAAATAAATTCACTTAAAAGTAAATCTGTCAGGTGACAATCACATATCCGAAATACACGCCTCATTAAAAAACACTGTAGTGGTACATATTATAAATGAAATTGTTTACATTTTGCAAAATGACTCAATGATTGATACCATGTTTCTGTGGAAACCTATTTTGTCCTATAGGCATAAAAGAAAGTATACAAAATTTATTGGTATGTACTTGTTTACCAGATCCTCTATCAACCTCTAACAATCCAACAAGAATATGCCTTTTTAACTGTTCTTTTTGCATTACGGTTTTTAATTTCATTTTATTTTTAGTTAGTGTGCATAGATTACATAATTTTCAATAAACTACTTTTGTTTTGTTTTTGCTGTTAAGCACAAAACTACACTATGGGCTGTCTGTGCTGTGCCCAACATGAGTATCAAAACCTGGTTTTTTAGCACTATGAACTGACAGACTTGCTGCTCAGCCACTGGAAAGTTAGACTACCTTTACTACACTAGGCTCAGCAAATGTTTGTGTCATAACTTTTATGTTTTTGATTTTTATATTCTTATTTAATATTTTTGTTATTATCAATTTCTTATAAATAATCAATTATTTTGAAAATATGACAGATAACTTAGTTTAAAATGCTTTGTTCAAACAATTGTTTTTTAGTAATAACAGACTAGGCTTAGCAAGCGTTCCTTCTGTTATCTAGAGCCATCTTTGAAATGAAAAAAAAAAACCTTTGAGACACACACTCCCCCTCCACACACCTTAAACAGTGAGTTACAGATCTAAATCAGACGTGTATCATAATACATTATACTAATATACTGCAACATCTACCTATAAATAGCATATTTTCAAAGCATATTTTCAAATTCACTCACATACGGTTAAGCCCACATAAACAAAAAAAAACAAAAACTGGCAGGTTAATTGTTTTTCTGGTGACC